AAGAAAATAAGAGAAGAGAACACAAAATTCATCATCATCATATATCATACATGATCTTATACATAATATTGTTTCTAATTCATATTATAAATCAAGGCATACTTCACAATAAGTATTATAAACCAATCATTCAAACAATCACATACACTGAATACACCTTAAGAAGTATATAAAAACTTAGTTGAAAATATAATATTTTCACTCAGCCACCAAGTCTGCTCGCTCATCTAAAAGTGTATGCTAGCTCACTTGCTCTGGGAATACAGAAATGATGTCTTCTGCTCGCTCAGCGACTACACTCATTCAGCTAGAAGTGTTATGCTCACTCAGCGGATACACTCGCTCAGCTAGACTGCATAATTCTACAGCACCAAAATTGTAGAATTTGCACCTTCAACCACTCATGACCTATCTTATGCATCTTTCTCAACTTCTAATACTCCTAGATTGTATTATAAACTAAAATCGACCTAAAAAAATGTGTATCATCCAACTTAAACTAGCTCTTAACATATCAAACATCTAATTTCATCATATCAAACATAGATCATACAATACAATAACATACACATCTAATTGAATTAACATATCATAATTACTCAAATTAATACTCAATCCAGTTAATAAGTAAACAATCATTAAACTTGCAAGACAATTATAGTTAATTATAAGACATCTAGTTTCCCTTACCTTATACTAGAGCAACATAGCTCTATAAACATCGAACCCTTTCTTAGAGTTCAAGGAACTCTAGAAACACCTATAAAAACACCAAACATATATCAGAGAGAGTTCTTAGGACCTCTGATCAACAAAAAATTAGGAACAAACATTACAACTCACATGCAACAAGAGATCATCAAGAATGATCTCAATTAAGAACGTAAAGAGAAAAATGATCTGAAATTTACTTGTTCTATTAAAGAGACTAATCGTGTAGAAATGTAGACATCGTTGTCATGATCGTTTAAATACTTCCTAATCGTCAAATAAATGACTCAAGAGTTAAAACTCTGAGGTAAAGAACCTTAAAAATGTATTTTAAAATAATGAAACTTGTTTATAACAAAAACATTTATAAATAAATCATTTAATATTAAAATAATCGAATTTTGTTATTTTTAAACTACCACTATCTCAAAAATATTATTTTATGGGATTTTACATTAAACATATAACAATGAGATTAAATGTGAATTGTTGTTGTATTAAAAAAACTCATTACATAGAATTCTTCTATGTGGACACTCGTTATCTTTATTAAATTAATCATAATTATGTATGCACTTAAAAGAAATTCGGATTTAACTTCATATAGAATTTTACTTTTAAAACCTAGAGGAATCCATGCCCTTCAAGAGTTTCTTTTTTACTAATTCCTTTAAAAAGAAATAAAAAATGTATAATTACAAGATAAATAATTTTTTATATATAATTTAACTTCGTAAAGCTAATTTTATTTTCTTCACATTTAAAAATATTATTCGTATATTTTATTTATTTTTCCTTAAAGAAACATGGTTGGACTGTGCACGGATCACTGTTTTTGTGTCGTGTCCATCCCTTGGGCAGCAAGAAAAGACCGCACCAAGACAGGGTCAAAACGGTCAAAATCAGTGGTACTCCTGTAAATCTTTTCCAAAACAAGGATCATTTTCACAACATAGTACTATATAATCCAATCCTTCGTCAGAAACTCACACAACACAAACCAAACCACAAGCACATTTTGTCTTGGGATCTAGGAGTTTCTCTGCTCTCACTTCTCACTCTTCTCTTCTTCACCAAACAGAGAAAACAGAAATGGCAGGTGCAAGAGCTGGTAGCATGATCAATGGAAGAAGCATCCCCAGAAGGTTCTCTGGGCGTCCAATTCCAAAGCGTGGACAAGTCAAGGTTGGAATTGTTCTGGGCCTCGCAAGCTCTGTTGCTTCAATCTTCTCTCGCAACAGAATCAGAGCCTCTGCTACACTTTCTCACCTCGCACACTAGGATTCAACCCTTTCACACCAATCGATGAGCTACCAAAATTTTGATCCTTTTTTATGTACAAATTGGGGTCTTTTTATTCCCTTCTACCATATGTTCATATGTAAATCTCTTGTTTTCTTTCATGCTAATGAAATCAACCCATCGTTTCTTGCTTATCTCCTGCTCAGTATAATTCTCTTCTTGGATCTGCAACAATGGATGAATCTTAGATTCTCGAAAGCAAGCAAAAGGAATTTACTTAATAAACACCCAGATTAATTTATTGATCACTACTACAAAAATAATAATTAATAGTTTAGAATACATTAACTTCAATCACCATGCTCTGGTCTCTGAGACGAGAGTTTATTTTTCTGAGAAATAAAATCTAAAACTGGAAGAATAACTTAAAAGAAGAAGATAAAAATAGAAATACAAGTACTGCGTCATACAGAATGGTATCTAAATAAATTATTTAATTTTCTTACAAATAGTTGAGGAAATCTGAATTATCAAAGTACAACAAGCTGTACTGCATAGGGTTGGTTTCTGAACTGTAGGCAATGGAACTCTTAATCTTAGATAATTATATGCATGATTACCACAAATTACAGAGTGATTTGAAAATCAGCAGACGAAAAACAGGGTACTGTAATATTGACTCATCCGCACGTGCCCTCCAATTTTTTTGTCTTCTGAACTAATTTTCATCCATTATTTAGTAAATGTGCACTTTTCAGATTTTCTAGAGGTAGGAGAAAGGTCATGTCAAAACGTGGTCATGTTGAAGATGAAGTGTTCTGATTTCAGTGAAAATTAAGGGTATGTATGACTAGGCAGAGCAAAGCGACAAAGCACAAGTGGTGTTAACTATGCTATCAGTCAATAATTGCGATTAACGATGGATTAACAACTGTCATTTATACTGTTATATCTTACTACTAGTAGTATTTTTTTATTCTACGAATCTATTGTTCCCTCAACACAATCCAACACGATCTAAAACCTACCTATTTGAATATTAATGCTTTCAGTGCATTGTATCAAGGGCTTTCGCTTTGCAAGATTCAGAGCACCGAAATTAACCTCTGAATACAAATCAATAAATCCACGCATCCTTTTTAAGTCCACTTAGTACCCACCTTCTCTTTCATTCTCATTTTTTTAATACCTTTCGTTCACTAACTTTCAGACACTAAAAAAAATCATCGTATAATGTCTTTTTGAGTTTAATTATGAGTGACGAGAGTTGAAATTAGTGAGGTGGGTTGCATATGGAGCATTATGTTTGGTTTGGATGAGGAAGTGATGAAAATAATGGTAGCTAAGCGACAAAGTGACACCTAAAAGTGTTTGGATTCTGCAATATCATTATCGTTTTTCTTTCTTTTCTAATTGAAGGGATCGGGCACGTGATTTTAATGCGTGGAAAAAAGCTTCATGTTTTTTTTTAATACATAGGTTTATTATTAATGCTTATCTTATTCTTAACCTTCTCAGATTAAATTACATTTTTTATACCGCAGCATGGAGTGGGCTTTTAAAATATAGCCGGCGCGTGGGACCATCTTTATCTTGTCGTCTTCCCTAAACCATATCTTCTCCTCCAAGTTTTTTCTTAATCAGATTCTTTGAACAATGACAACGTTATTTTTTGTCAAATTTCTTGTCACGCACGGTCATAGTAAACGGTACAGAATTAAAACCAAATAATTAGCAAAATTATTATAACAAAAATGTTAATTTCTTCCAACTATTCTTCATTTAAATCACGACAAATCTAGTGCACTTTTTTTTTATGTGAAACTGTGTATCTGTTTAAGCTTCAATCTAAAAGATAGTTTTTTTTTTTTCTTTCAGTGATTTACTAATTGAAGAAACACTTTTTAAATCTTACATGAAGTGAAGAATTTTGTTTACTTGGTGATGAGTACATATTAGCATTTTGACTATTTGCCGATTTCCCTTTTCTATGTTGGCTTTTATAAAACATTCAAAGTCCAGAGGCATTTGCTCCTGGTAACTACTGTTGACCATTCACTTTCTTTGTTACTTTGTTCTCTTGTATACGATTCAAAGCTTTGGTAATGATGATATTTGACTGTTGACCCTGTTATAATATGAACAAGCAAACTCAATTTATTTTATTACATTCATCACTTACACACAGTTTTATACGTATTATTTTTATGTATTTCCAGTATGAGAGGACAAATAGTACTAGTGTTCTTGTACTTCTTCTGCAATCCTTATAAATAACACGTTATAGATATTAAATATTGCTTAAGAAAATATCAAATGTTGTTTGATTCATTTTAGTTTTTTAATTGATGCATTATATGGAGAGGAATAATGAAAGTTACAAACTTTATCAGCAAAAATTAACAATTGAAATGAACGTTAAAGTCTAAAAATAAGGCGAAGAAGGAGATGTTGAATAACACAAAACGACAAGGAGTGGTTTGACTAACACGTTCATGGGTCAAAATCAAACAAAGGAAAAGAGGTGCTCTACGACCCCACGTAATGAAGAAAAGGAAGGTCAAAATTGTCAATAAATGATCGATTATTTTATACCCACAAGAGTATAGAGAGAGGGAGTATCACGAATTGAAATCAAACAACCCAAAAGAAATATATGGAAAAAAAGTGGTAGTTTAGTAGAAAAGAAGGGGCTTTTTTGTAACTAAACTTCACTTCATCCTCTATATAAGTGGAAACTCTTAGAATCACTTGTACAACTGTGCTACTAAGCTTTGTGTTGTGTTGTGTTGTGTTGAGTGTTTATTGTTGTGGGCAAAGAGGCTAAACAAGAAAGAAAAAGAAAGTGATGGGTGTGCAAGTGGTGGTGATTAAGAGAAGGGATTTGATGAACAAGAATTATTTGTCCAAGAGCAATATTTCTGGCCGTTTGATTCCCAAGAGGGGCCAAGTGAAGTTGGGAATTATGGTGGGCTTGTTTCATACTGTTTCTTCTGTCTTCTCCGCCATTACTACACGATGTGTTGTTCATTTAACTTGAGTTTTTCCTTCAATGATTTTTTGACCATTTTGAGGAACTGTTAAAAGAGAGGATTGTGATCAAGGATTGCTTCTATTTTGTGAAAAAATCAATTGTACAAAGCTCATAATTACTTAATTCTATAGAGATAGATTGGTGTTTTTTTTCAATACCATCCAATCATTTCATTGTTGCTGTATTTTTTTTTTAATTTGTCAATAATGATAATTTTGTGAAGAAATTGTAATTTTCCCAAAAAGCAATGCATGGACCAAAGACTAAGCCAAAATAACGAGGAAAAAATAACATCTGGTTTTGCTGACAATGAATTTTCAACCTATCCTACTATTGTCTCTGCCAAAGACTAATGTGGTGGCCCAGTTTACTGCCACGTAAAGCCTGTTCCTCCAGCTAAGGACACGTGTAAGATATGCAGAGCGCCATATCATCCAGCTAACAAAACCAGCAAGTGACAACCCCTTTGCATCCTACACAACATATATATGCAGAACAAAATCAGAAACTAGTTTTTGACTTTTTTCTTCTTTGCATATATAACTACACTCTTGAAGTTGGTAAGATTTAAGATAGAATTAGAAAAAAAAATCCTATATTATACCTTTGTCTGCCGTAGATCAACCAGTGCTTTATAGCCACCTACAGATGCCATGCTCCCAATATGCTTATACACAAAAGGCTCTCCCAGTGGCGTCCCTTTTGCAGAGAAAGCCTTGCCTCCATTCTGCTTCCCAATTTTGTTGAACAGCTCCACAAGAAACTTCCCTTCCCTTTCAGCAACCTATAATTAGCCATTGGTAAGTGCATAGTACATAAACCCCTCTTGATGCTTGCTTTTCCAGCATCTAATGGAATATACTTTTATGGAGTGTATTACAAGAAACCCTTGTTGATTGTAACTACTATTTTCATGTGCACAGTGACATTACTGATTCATGAGCCTTGTTATCTGCAATGCAGGGAATGACTAAGCCTAGCTTATTCATAGAAAAATTATGTTCTATTTCAGTAATGTGAACAATTACAGTTCGATCTCCACACATAGATAGTGCATATCAATAGATGTTCTTCATTGTGCCTCCTTAGAAGCTGCCGTAAGGGTCATCAGGAAGTGAATTTGTAAAATTCCATGCTTAAACATAATAAAAGTCAACTTCAAATGCAAAATACGCTCTTTGAGATTTTTCTCATTGGATAGAAGGACATCATACATCAGCATAAGTTTAACTTCGTTTGGCTGTTTACTTGGTCACTTTATCCATATCATTTGGCAAATCGAAATGGATAAAGGCTAACCTGAGCTAGAGCTGGAAGCACAGGCCTTCCAGTTTGTTGAAGAAAACCAGCACAATCTCCAAGGGCAAAGACATCTTCCACAGAAGGAACACGCAACCATTCATCTACACCTATTCTGTATCAATCAAAGAGAACAATTAAATGGAGATCACATATTGTGAACGAGTAACACTATTCTTATTCTCCTTTTGGGCTGTACATACCTTCCGCCTGGAGATTTAGGAAGATTTAAGGCTTTCACAAACTTTGAAGGACCAACTCCTGTGGACCAGACCAAGAGGCCATAAGGAACTTTTGTTCCATCACTCAGAATTATCTCTTTGCTATGCACTTCCTTCACTACACCACGCTTAAGACGGACACCAGACTGATAGAACATTGAATGTCTCAGGCTTAAATTTGAATGTTGAAACCATGAACTAGTGGCTAATCTAGACAGATTAAAGTATATGATAAAAACTAAAAAGGTTCACCTTTGTTAAGTGCTTTGTTGCATATTGCCGTAGGCTAACATCAAAGGATGACAGTATCTCATTTGCCTAATCATAAAAAAGTCAGTATGATGGTTAGGTACACTAAATATTAATCTCACTCACAAAATAGGCTAAAATGAATGGAAGTAAATTCATCCAGTTACCTCAATCAGTGTAACGTGAATGTAATCTTTGACATGAGTATAACGCTCATGAACATCCCTGGTGATGAAATCACTCAATTCACCACTAAACTCCACTCCTGTAGGGCCACCTCCAATAACTACACAGTGTAGAAGGCGTTTCTTTTCTTGTTCCGATATGCCTGTTACACGAATATGTTCTTTGCTCTTTGGTACAAATTGACGAGTGCATAATTATTAAAGCAAAGTGAATAAATTAAAATATAAGGTTGTATAACAAATTTAACTGGCTCTTGCTAAAGAACAATACTAGAAAATAAAGCCCACGCTCTTTTTCAGGTGAAGTGATAAAGGTGAGTTGAAGTGGAAAGAAAAATAACTCAGGACAGAACATGCGACTGACACAGAGTAGTGTTGCATTGCCAAGGTTTGTTTTCCGTTAAAATGACAAAACTATACTGGAATACTCCAAAATAAACTACGATGGAAATGAAATACCCACCTGGATTTTCCGAAAGCATCAGATTAAGGAGAAGTCTCTTCCTTATTTCTTGAGCATGGTTAACATCACGAAGAAAAAAGGCATTTTCCTCTACTCCCTTGATACCAAAAGTCAAAGCCTCGGCCCCGGCTGCAATGACAAGCTTGTCATACGCAACTTTAAATTCGTAAGGCTCTCGGGGCAATTCCCCATTGTTGACTGCCTCACAATAGACCTGTTTGCATGATGTAAAAAATGAGTAGGCATTTTATACTAGTGTTTTTTTTTTTCAAACAACTTTTTATATCTCACATTTGAGCAGAAAACGTAAAAATATATACACAGAGGGCAAAGGTTGAATATCATTCTACTCACTTCATGTTTTCCAGTGTCGATGCCCGTGCAAGAAGCTAGAAAGAAGAAGGAGTTGGGGTCTTTCGCTAATGCATCTTGTATTCTGGTGACAGGCTCGGCAACAGTTCTGAATTCCAGGGTTCCAACACATGTTGAAGCAAGCAAAGGAGTAAAAACCATGTGATTTCTTGGTGATATGCACACAACATCATAGATTTTGGTGTCAAGCTCTTTGAGGAAGCGACACGAAGCCCAACCCGTACCAAGAACAACCACCCTAGGCTTTTCACCTGGCTTTGTTGCCTCTAGTCCTGCATATCTACGCTGATCATTCTCCAACTCTGACTCTGACTCCTCAACAACCGTCTGTGCGTTAGCAGAAGGAAACTGATGGTATGGAGTTCCTGATATTCCCCTCATTGCAAAGTTCACGCAGTTATGTTCCTTATTTGTTGGAACATATGAAAACTTCTCATCTGAATTGAAATTTACATGGGAAGTTGTGTCCCGTATGCTTGTGTATCCTCCCACTTTGAATAAATCCTTCTCACTCGCATAACTACCATAAGCACCTCTTGATTTTCTGAAGTTGGCCCTAGCAATCCTTGCCAATGCCATTGTAAGAGAACAAACCTTTTACACTTTATAAGCTTTCTGAAAAGATCAAAGCTCAGAGGTTTAAGCGCTTTCAACTTTGAACTGAAGAATGAAATGTTCTACAAGATATATGTATACAAGGTACGCAGATCAGGTGCTTCAGAGTACGAAGCAGAGACAAATGAGAGTTCGAGGGTTGCAAAGAAATCACAGCAATTAGTTCCAAGAAAATAGGACCACAACAAAACAAAAGTTAATATAGCTTTGCTCATCAGTCTTTAGTAGTTGCGGAGAACCCCATAAAACTAGAAATTCCAATTTTACAGTTTTACAATAACGTAAAGTAAGTGACCATTGAATATGACAAAATATGGAATATGATGGACACTAAAATCAAGTGTTCCTTTTTCGCTTGATCCATCAAACATATTGTGTGCAAAAAATTATCTGTTATCAAAATGCTGTGAAGATGGTGGGAGTCGAAAGAATTCATCGAAGCTCTTTCATGCGAGATTATAAATCAGCTAATGACGTTGCATTGAAAATAAAGAACATAAAATTGAGAGGAATAGAAATTTCATGGAAGAAAGTATGACTGATCATTGAAAATCGAATACCTGCTTATAATCAGAAGTAAAAGAATAGAAAAAATATCATTTACTGGATTTGTCAATGTGAGAATCCCCTAAAAAGCTTATAACAAACACATAAAGTCACAGGAAAAGCATGCCCAAACAAATATATCATACATTAGAAGACAGATAGATCACATTATTTAATAATCAGCCACTCCGCAATTAACCTTGTGAACAAAGAAATGTAAATACTTTTACTATACAAATCTTGAAGAAACTCAACAAATATACATGAGCAAATGGAAATAAAAAAAAAAACAAATAACGTTAATGATCCATCATGTGAAAGAAAGGTAACCTTCGGTTGGGTTATGAAGCTTTTGGGGACAAAGATTCAAGAACCTTTTCACCCTCAGTTGCCAAATTCTCGTACTGAAGTTGTAACGCTAATGCCACTGTTATACATCATTCCCACACATCTAAGTGGACTTGTCACCGACAAGAGTTCAATTTATTTTTGAATTCTCCCATGTTTGTTCACTCACCAAATATAATATTTATTATCAAAATAAGACTGTTAGATAGTTATTTAAGAAAAAAATTGCTTGTAAAAGAAGGTTTTCTTTCTTTAATAACATTTGATATGGAAAATTTAAAATGGCGGTGAAGTGCCCAGGTTCTTGGAGGGCAAGAAGCACGTGTTTATTGTATATCAATTTAAACGTGTTTCTTTCATATTCTTGAGACAAAGACGATTGTATCCCTGTAAAATGGCGTTTGTATGCAGAAAGTGGAAGACAGATAAAACGTTGTGCCATTCCATCTTTGACCGTACATAGAAAGTTCCGTCCCAAGGTATGGAAGGGACGCAGTGTTGAACTTTGATCAACGGTTGAAAATGATGGTCATTGAGGTTCCGTGTCAAATGAAATGTGTTTCTGCACCGCTCAATAAGCTCCGCTTATGGCGGAAGATCTTTTTTAGATGCGCATTGGGCTTTTAAGCCCAAGGAAATTGGACCGATCCATAGTTTAATGGGCATTCTAACGAAGAGAGTTACTCCCTCCGCCACCACTTTTGTCCTTCAATAATATTAAAACAGATGTAAATATGTGTTGATTCTTAAACGGATATAACATTCATCGACGGATATCAACATTAATTGAAAGGTAAACGGATGTCGATATCCGATTACGGATGTTAACGTCCGCCCAAGAATCTAGAGTGCAAGGGAAAATTAGGAAAATTAGGAGGAGATGGAGAAAAGAGTGAAGGTTCATCCAAAGGGTGCAGCTCCAAATTTTCTTGGAATGTGTCCCATGCAGCGATGGTGGCAAAATTACCTGCCGCAACTTCAAGTCTCTGTTTTTCCCCGCTTCCCAGACTAAAGTCGAGTCTTTTTTTATAGTGACGAATTTAATTTGAATGTGACCAGTCCCTTTAAATTCCAAGTGACACACTCATCCATTTTCGATCCAGTTCAAGGGAACATTCTTGTTCCATGATCCTAATTCTTTGGCGGATCATCGGATAACTACGTGATCGCTAAATTAAACTTTGTGATCTAATCGACCTTGTAGACGAACTTTGCAGTCCATGGAGACGGAAGAAGGATTGTTGTTTCCTTCTTCTTGTTCTTGGTCCCTGACATTGACGGAAGTAATCACTCGGAAGGAGTAAGCAATAAATATGAAGCATTAGAGAGAGAGAGAGAGAGAGAGAGAGAGAGAATGACCTAGTTTGGGTTTGAGGGGAGGAGAGAGCGGAGAGGGGCGAAGGCAACCGGTGATGTAAAGGGTGCAGCGAAGGGAGCGAGGGAAGAATGAATCTGAGATGGGTTTTGTAGGAAGAAGTGGAACTGGAGGGATGAGCACACACTTTATTAAAATTTCCTAAATATCCTTCCCTTCCACACCTCAAAGACATCTCTTTATCATCAACACTACAAGTAGTGTCCCGAGAAGACAACAGGTGATGGGATGGAAGCTATATTTATTCTAAATCTTCATTATAAATAGGGAAATGATATTTGAACAACAAATTTTGACAACATTTTGACACGGGACAAGTGTCAAAATGCTAGTGGTCCACATGGAAAATTGAATTGAAAATTTTAAATGACGTGGAAAGGAAGTGCAGAAGGAGTTTCACGTTTGGCGGTTCAAATTTCACTTTTCAAATTTTCAATTTGAGACATTCGTAGAGAGAGAAGAGAAGCTTGAGAGAGAGAGTCGAACCTAGAGAGAGAGTTCGAGAGAGAGAGCTCCGACGGAGTGCCCGCCGAAGTGCCGTCGGACAACGTTGAATGCCATCGTCTTTCTTCCACCCCTCCAGCCAGTTCCGATTTAGGGCCGCCGCAGCTCAGGCATTGGCCGACGAAACGAAGACGACATCGTCTTCCCTCCGACCCAGCCAACTAAGGGCGCGTTCTGAGTCTCGATTCCTCCCACCCAGCCAACTAAGGGAACAATTACTTAAGATTTTATTAACAAATTCGTGCCACAAAAACCACAATTTGTAAGACTCATGGTACAGGAACAGATCTGGTACCAAAGGCAAAATAAGTGAGTACTTGGGTTGAAGTTTTTGCACAGCAAGGTCAACTACGTCCACCACACTCATTTTGGGGTGTCTTATTTTTTTTCCCTGATTTGTTCTAATTCTAAGTAATTTTGGAACAATTACTTAAGATTTTATTAACAAATTTGTGCCACAAAAACCACAATTTGTAAGACTCATGGTGCAGGAACAGATCTGGTACCAAAGGCAAAATAAGTGGGTACTTTGGTTGAAGTTTTTGCACA